GAAACAATGCTTTAAAACTCTTCATACAAAATCTTCAGCTACGCTTCAGATGCTTCTGCAGCTTCTGCTTCAGAGTCTTCTGCAACTTCTGCTTCAGAGTCTTCTGCAGCTTCTGCTTCAGATTCTCTTCTGGCAGCGCTCAGAGTCTTCTGATGGCTTGCATTTGATGCTTCAGAGCTTTGCGTAACTTGTTGTTCAGATGCATTTTGCTTCCATAATAATATTTATTTTAATATCTGAAACACAAAACACTTGAACAAAATTAGAGTATATATTTTCTTAATACAAAATTCAATTAGAGTTATCATCAAAACATAGAGATATAATTAAACACCAATTTGTGTTCTAACACATACATCAACAATTGTTTAAAGTAATTGTTGTGATAGATTACGCACTACTTATAATTACGGTTGCACGACTGTGATGAAAAAAATCATACATACAATCATATTTTACCTCACAACGGTTGGTCGGACGTAGTTGTATCCCTTTTCTAACTGCTATAAGAAGTATTTTCCGGAGTAGTGTTCATAATTTATTTTAAAATTTGAATTTGTTATTTTTTAAATTTAAATATAAGTTATTCAACTCATTTTTAAATTGTGTAAAAAAAAACTCATTTTTACAAAAGAGTACCAAAACAAAAATCATTTCACTAAATTCAATTTCAATTATTTCAAATTCAATTCTATCTAACTCAATTTTGATCATGATGAATTCAATCACATGCTACAATTATCGGATGTAGAAAACACAAGAGATGAGAACACGGTTTCGCTCTCTCACGAGATACATACACCAAAAGTAGACTTTTTTTACTATTCTATCTTATATTTGAAAAAAAATTCCCCTTTTGCCCCAATTAGGAAAAAAAATTCTGGATGTCCATTTTCTTTGTCTGTTTGGCCAATGGAAGAGAGTAGTTGTACAAATTTTTTTCATGAGTGTGTTCGATCAATGAATGAACGAGCACACACGACACACAAAAATATATTTAACACACTCGACCATTCATTAGCCGAGCACACACAACACAAAAGTTCGTTCAACGAATCTCCTTTTCATTGACCGAACACAGGCACGGATCCATGTATGTTGGAATGGGGTCAAGTGACCCCACTTGACTTTTCTTTTTAAAACCAATAATGATTAATTTTGGAATATTGACCCCATATTAAATACAATATTGTCCCCATACCACTCATTTGATTTGAATTCTAGGAAACATAAATCTGACTATTAATTTTTTTTTTAAAGAAAATGAAAATTAAAAAGACACAAGTAAATTGTATTTGTATAGGTTCTTCTAATTATAAATCAATTTACATACAGCAACATATTATTTTCATCTGTACTCTATTTTTTGTCTTCTTTCTTCTACACACTTTATTTTTTCTTCATAAATCTCCTACTTTTAAATCTTATTTGTTTTTACCGTTTTATCATAGTAGAGTTAAAAGACAATATTCAAGTAAGTTTCTCCCTTCATTCTTTTTTTTTGTATATTATATTATTATGTTGTGATTTCATATTTTTGTATCAATTTTTATCATGTTTTTAGTTTTAATTTTATCCTTGTAGAGTTGTAGTTCAGTAGTTGTATTAGAATCAAGTAACTAATTAGTGTTAAATTTGTATGTGTTACAAATGGAAAAATATTTTAAAAGAAAATAAACGTCGGAGTCTTAACAAGTTAATGAAGTGGAAAATACATTTGCACAACATGTAGAGCCATCTTTGAAAAAAAAGATTTTTAAATGTTGATTTAGATAATCTTCTTGTTGATCTTGGAGAAAGGAATCAAATGTCATGTTATCACCCAAATGATCGAGATGAAATCCGAAGAGCTTATTTACAAAAAGGGCCTTGTCAACCAAAGGACCATAATTTTCCACAACGACAATTTGGTACGTCTTTACGTAAGTTCAATCCTGATTGGTTTCTTGAATTTGGTAGTTGGTTCGAATATAGTATATCAAAAGATGTTGTTTTTTTTGTTTATTTTGTTACCTTATGAGAAATGAGATAGGAGAACACAAGGGTTGGGATGCATTTGTGACTGAGGGATTTTAAAATTGGAAAAAGAAACATAGACTCAATGTCCATGTTGGAGGCCCTAATAGTGCTCACAACCAAGATTGGAGAAAATGTAATGCACTAATGAATCAAAAACAACATATTGAAGTTGCTATCAACAAACAATCTGACTTGATCAAAAGGGAATATTGGATTCATTTAACTGCAATAGTTGATTGTATTCGACTTTTATTAAAGTTGGGATTAGCATTTCGCGGTGATGATGAATTAGTGGATTCAAAGAATAAAGGTAATTTTCTCGAGATTCTACAATTTCTTTGTAATCATAATGAAGAGATTGATAAAGTATTGAAAAAATCTCGTGGAAATCTCAAATTAGTGTCACCTAGCATTCAAAAAGATATTGTGAAAGTTGCTGCTTCTGAGACCACAAAAGTTATTATTGATGATCTTAACAATGATTTGTTCTCTATTTTAATTAATGAGTCTCGAGATGTTTCAGTTAAAGAGCAAATGGATGTTGTTTTACGTTATGTAGACAAGAAAGGATGTGTCATTGAGAGGTTTCTTGGTATTGTTCATGTTGCAAATACAAGTGCTATGTCTTTAAAGTTAGCATTGGAGTCCTTACTGGCAAAGTACAATTTAAACTTTTCAAGAGTTCGTGGACAAGGATATGACGGGGCAAGTAATATGCAAGGAGAGTTTAATGGTCTCAAAAATTTGATATTGAAAGAAAATAAGCGTGCATTCTATGCTCATTGTTTTGCTCACCAACTTCAGTTGGTACTTGTAGCGGTTGCTAAAAAGCATGATGACATTGCTTGGTTTTTTCTTGTAGTTAACAATTTATCTAATGTTGTTGGAGCTTCATGCAAGCGCAGAGATATTCTTAGAGAAAGTCAAATTCTTAAAGTAATGGAAGCATTAGAGAGTGGAGAAACTTTAATTGGTTGTGGCTTGAATCAAGAAACTACACTAACAAGAGTTGGAGATACTAGATGGGGATCATATTATGGTATATTACTAAGGTTGGTTTCTTTGTTTCGTTCTGTGTGTGATGTGTTAGATATGATTTTAAAAGATAGTCTTAGCGCAGAGCAAAGAGTTAAAACTCGTCAATTATTGAATATTTACAATCCTTTGAATATATTTTTAAATTGCTTTTGATGAGAAATATATTGGGAATTACTAATGACTTATCTCAAGCACTGCAAAAAAAAAGATCAAGATATTGTAAATGCTATGACATTTGTTAAAGTATCGAAGGAAAGATTGCAAAATATGAGAGATGGTTAGTCAAATCTACTCGATGAAGTGTCATTATTCTTTGAGAAACATAACATTGACATCATAAATATGGATGATGTCTTCATGTTACATGGAAAACCAAGTCGTAAAGTTGAAAAAGTTTCAAACTTGCATCACTTTCAAGTCGAGGTCTTTATCAAGTGATTGATAGACAACTTCAACAACTGAACAATAGATTTACCGAGGTGAATAATGAATTGCTTATTTGTGTAGCAAGTTTAAGTCCACGAGATTCATTTTTTGCATTTGACAAGGAAAAGTTGATTAATATGCCTCAATTTTATCCATCCGAATTTTCTTTGGTAGAACTTATGGGACTCGACAATCAACTTGAAAATTACATCATGGATGTTTGTTCTAGTGAGCAATTTTCTAATTTACAGGGAATTAGTGATCTTTCAAGAATGATAGTGGAGACTAAAAAACATATTGTTTATCCAATGGTGTACTTACTTTTGAAGTTGACATTACTTTTGCCTGTGGCTACGACAACCGTTGAAAGAAGTTTCTCAACTATGAATTTTATGAAGAATCAACTGCACAACCATATTGGATAATGAATTTTTGAATGATTGTTTGGTAACATACATAGAGTGATATATTTGATAGTGTTGAAAATGAAAAATCTTAACACTTTTAAAATATGAAGACACGTAATAAACAATTATAATCTTTGAATATTATGTTGTCTTCATTTTTTTATATATATATTTGTGTTTTATTTTGTAATATTTAACTTTTTTAAATATGTATTATCATCATCTTTTATGCATAAGTATTTATATTTTTCTTATAAATATTTATATTATTTAATTTTTATTTTTGTATTAAAAAATTAACATTAACCCATTAATTAAAATTTTTAGATTCGTCTCTGACCGAACATATAAATAAAATGGAACATGAAACATTTATAAAAATTTTCAAATCGGAAGAGAATGGAAAAAAATTTCAAATATAGTATAGAACACTAAAAAAAATGTCCAAAAAGTACCATAGTTCAACTCTTCCATGCATTGATTTTGACACCCCATACCATACCCGTGATCACTGACAACCCCATTACCTTTCAATACTACTGGTACTAGTACTATTCAAAAATAAATTACTGCAATAAAGTTCCTGACACACCCCACCTTTCCACATATATGTCCATTCTCATTAATCATTTCACACACCAAACTCCAGTATCTCTCATCAACCATTTATCTTCATTTTCCCAAAACCTTTTTCACCCAACTCACAACCTTTACCCAGTTTCAAAGCTAACCATTTCCTAACTCAATAAAATAGTAATACTCTAATACTAGTATAACATAAGCAACACCAACACACAGAATTTCGAAAATTGTGTATCCCCTCACATTTTTTATATTCGTATACATTTTTTATTTACAAGCAAAAATGATTTTACATGATGATTTCTCTCAAACTATTTACCTTCATAGTTACTTTTCCAAACCGCACGGACTTCGAATCAATGCTACCATGTCACCTTTAAATTCTCCAAGTAAATCTTACTCCATTGGGTCCCATCATCACCCATTAATTTCCAGCTGTACTCCATTAATTATTTTTATATTTATTATTTACATTATTCATTTCCAATGTATGTGAATCTAAGTGTAAATTTTCAATATTGAAACCCATTACGTGTCAAAATCTAATTGGCGTGAAACCCTCGAGCTCCTATAAGACCTACCCAGCTTCTCACTCAAAGAATGTAGGACCTGCCACGTGGCATCCCCTTCCTGGACCCTACTATTAAAAAGCAGTGCTTTCCTTGTATGTGGGTCCCACAGGTTCCTCTGAATCGAGCTAAGATTACTCGCCGCCACATTTTCCAATATCTCAGCCAGCCTCCAAACATCCCTTTCCGCCACCGTAACAGAAATCTCCGACCACTTCACAGCGGAGGGAAACGGTAACCGGATACCATCCGCTATAATAACCGGAACACAGCCCAAAGCAACAGACTCAACTAACCTTGGACTCCATGGGGCCCACCCCAAGGGACAGAGACAAAATACCGAACGAGCAATCTCTGACTGGTAACCGGCAAATCTACGCCGCTGAAGGTAAAACCTCCGGTCACCGTTGAACTTTTTCCATATCACTGTTCTCACTTTCCTGCAAGGGCAAAACCGTAAATTTACCCGAAAAATCATAAGCATGCAAATTAAGATTAAAATTAAAACAGTTATTACTTGCTGTAAAATCTTCCACTGACGTTCTTTGGATGAACCTCCATTTTACCCCGGAAGAAAACCCAAATATCTCGCCGTCCGTTCACCGGAAAATTCTTCATCGTGTTATGTATGCTTCCCGGAGAAACAAAGGGTGGTATCACGACATGTTCAACCTTCTGACAAGGATGATCATAGGTAACGCCAAACGTTTGTAACACAATCGATTTCTTCATGATTTCAGGTACCCCATCTTTAATCGCCACGTCCTCCTTCAAAATAAAAATAAAAACTGAATCATTGAAAAAAAACATGTATAAATATAACATAATATAAACTTATATTAATATTTGATTATTTATTTACCAGAGTATGGAAACAAGAACCGAAATCATGCGAAGCTACGAAAACATGGTCGGAACCTCTGCTTCGGTTCCAGAAAGGGTAATCAGAGGAGATGAGATGAACTGCGGAAGAAATCAACGAACGCGCGTGACCAATCGCGGGGAAACCATTAACGGTGCTGAAGTTACAAGAAACGTAAACGGGTACGAAGAAAAAGTCAGCGTCGTAAGGGTCAAAAGTTCGAACATCGCTTGTTAATAAAGCTCTGTGAATAGCAACTTCTGAAGCAAACAAATGAGTTTTGCATCGTTCGTTCGCAAGCCAGTTTGTGTTGTAGTTTGGAGGAAGATCGTAGATGAATATCTTCAGATTTTTTATATTTATGTTATGAGATTGTTGTGGTGGTGATGTTGTTTTGTTGAAGGAAAAGGATTGAGAAAGAGATTTTATGATGTGAGTTGGTTTGTGATTGTGGTGATTGTTGCTGTTGTTGCTGATGAGGTAAGAAGTGAAGAAATAGAGAGAAAGAGAAAGCCAAAGAATCCATTTGAAATATCTATGGAAAGAGTTGTTTTTTTCCTGTTGAGGTCTACCATGTTTGTGCATGAGTTTCATTTTAACATAGTATCCTTTGTTATTTTTTGAGGATGTTTTCTTGTGATTCTCCATTTCATTTATGGAAAACGTGAGAAGGAAACGGATTGAAGGTGAAGGATGTTGAGGGGTTGAGAGAGTGTTTGGTAGTTGAAAGGGTGTTTTCGTGTTCTGGTATGGGAAGAAGTGGAAGCGAAGAAACAGTGACGGAAGAGAAGGAAAGGTGTGAATTTTTGTTAAGATTTCGTTATTGAACAGAGGATAATTTGTTTTTTATTTTCGGAAAATGGGTCTTACATTAAATTAATGTGTTGTAAGGAAAATCGTTATGCTTTAAAATTTTATATTTTCCTACAGGTGTGAGGTATGGTTTGTAGTTGTGGACATTTTCCTACACTTATACGTCTATTTTACAATAATTGCTGTATACGATAGTATCACACAATTTAAAATTTTATTATAATTAAAAAATTAATTTGTTCTTATTACCTATCATTCAATAAATATATAATGAACAATAATTATATAGAAGTCACATTAAAGTCGATCAAAATTGACAATTATTTAAATGAAATATTTTCTTGCAAATTTATAAGGTGATATTCCTAATGCTTTATTAGATTTCAATGTGTGGAAAAAATCGATTTTGTTTGTTTAATTGTATATTTAATTGATATTATATTTATAATAATTAAAATATATTAATATATAGTTAGCATAAATAATAAAATTGTACTGTAAGACTTTTTTCATTTTTTATTTTTAATATTTGAAAAATAATTAAATAACACGATTATTGTGAAATTCGTAGAGTATCATATAGAAGGAATGATAAAAAGGAAAGAGATAGATTATTTTCGATGTCACGTGCATGAGTAATGAGTACTAATGGATCATTAATACGAAGCCATCGGTAATATGCAGCTTTTTTTTCTTCTTATCTTTTCTTTTGCATTAAAATTAATAAATTAACCATGCAAAGTTTTAAATGAATAATAACTACTATTATAGTAACAAAGTACTCTGGTGGAAATGTGCGAACACAAATCCGTCAAAAAATATATTAGATTTTGTCAACGTCACAAGCCACCACGGATAATGATATATGTAATATTTCGTTAAGGCAACTTTTGACATTAACGATTCAGAATATAAAAGATTAACTTTTAACTCTATGGAGTTCAATAGAAAAATGGAAAATTATTTTTTTAAGTAAGGTTTCAAATTTGTTTTTTCTTCGATTGAAGATGTTAGACGGGAGCGATCCATTTCTACTTGAAATATTAATCTTGGATTATTAAAATTGTTTCAATGGTTGAAAGACTTTAACTGATGTTTGCTCAAGCAATCCTCGACCCAGGTTTAGGTATGGATTCATGGGTTGCCGCAAGAGTATTGGAGGTCTAAAACTGTGTTTGCTATTGCGAGTAGCATCGTTATTCCTTTGTGCACTGATTCTGCTTCCAACAAGTGCAGCTTTGAACGGTCATTCGGTCATTTTGTGCGTATTCTGGTGGATTTGGAGCTGGCAAATGAACAGCGTTGCAAGGTTTTGGTGGAAAGGAAGGACTTTTCCTTTTTCGTGGAGCTTTATTACGAGAATTTGTCGTAATTCTGCTCCAACTGTTGTATGATTGGTCATTCTATTATCAATTACAAGAAATTTGATGATGGGGTGTTAAGGCAACTGTAAATCAGAAAAGAATAGATGATGTGGTCACTGAAGTAGATAAGGTGAATCATTCTAAAGGCACCAAGAAAGTATATGTGCAAGTAAATAAGAAACCTACTGAAGGTGGGCCAAAAAAACCAATTGTAGTTGGAAGTCATGTTAACTTGGTGGATACTAAGGAAGACGATTTAGTTATTGTGGAGGGAAACTTGAATTCAAAGAGTACATAGCAGCTGGTTTCTCAACAAATTTTGCATAGGGTTGCTTTGGTTGCTGTGTGATCACGACTTTACGAGTCTAATGGAATATAACTGCAAGTATACAGTTTATCGCGTAGTTTAAAAAGATATCGAACTCACAAGGATTAATAATCAATATATCGTTATCGATTGATGCTGTGTAAAGCTAAAGCTAAAGGTTAAAAAGTTTTGGACGGGAACTAAAACGTGATTAACTAAAGGTTTGTAAAATAAAACGAACAACCAAAAGGGAAATTGCATTAACTAAAACATATTAAAATTGAAACATAGGTTTGCGTCGATAGCTCGACGATAATGTAAACATAATACAAAAAAAATGAAGAGAAATTCTGATGAAATATAACTGCTAACTAGAAAGCACGTAAATATTCCCTCCCCCGCACTTAAACAAGGCAGTGACCTCATTGTCTAAGTGCACGGTAGGAAAACATAAAACGGTAAAAATAAGTCAACATTATTCACTACGGTGCCTAACATTAGGCTTGAAGAAACGCCTCATTGAATAGAGTTGTTGAAATAAGTGGTCGAACTGCTCATTAGAAACATCCATAAAGCTCATAAATTCCACGCGCAGAGTGGTGAACTCTCCTCTAAGTGTAGCAATCTTCGTCCTAAGGGTGTTAATCGCAGCAGTATGATCAATGGGAGGCTCTGTGTGAATACCAGAGGCGAGTGAAGCAACATGAAAAAATATGGAATTTCAATTTTCATAGGCTTGAGGGGTGTTAGGTGAGGTAAATTTACTCCTGTTGTGCACATTTGTCCTCTCGTGGTTAGATAGTGTAAAGTTACGCACTACTTGGTTATTATCGCAACTGCGAAAAACACCTGGCGGAAAAGACAGAAGAGTCATCACCGAACGTTATTTACCCCGACGGAGAGAAAGAAAACGATCGACGAAAACCTCGAAGAAAGGGAAAAGACATGGTCATCGCAACCAAATATTGGGTTCGGGAGTTGATTACGTGAGAGGAAGGTATTAGCACCCCCTCGCGTCTGTTGTACTCAATGGGATTCACACTTGTTGTCTAATCAAAGGGTATGCTATCTAAAGCCTAATTGCTAAACAAAAATGAGAGTGAAAAAAAAAAGGAGACTCGATAGGACTTCGCGCCGTATGCCTACATATTCCCTCGTGCAATGGAAAAGTCAGAGTCAACGTAGTTCAGAAGATTACATGGGAAGGGGGAAGTTTGCTCAACAAGACTTCGTTGTCTTATGCCTACGTATCCTCATTCGGACGAGAATAAGAAAGTCAGGGCAGCCGTAGTTCGACGTACGAGTCGATACGTGTTTTTTATGAGCGATGTTAAGTTCCCATTCTAGTTGTTAGGATCGATGCCTGTTTGCGGTATAACGGACAAATAATGTACTCTTTCTGAAAATGATTTGGCAAATGATCCCGAAGGATGAAAATGATTTGAATTTGTTTATGAGTTTTAGATAAGTGAATTGACTTTATTTGGAATATGCGTCGCTCTAAAGTCTATGACATAGGATCAGAAATTTGCGCTAACGATCCAAACATCTCGCGTGCAAAGTACCCTAAGATGAGGTTAGAAATGCATCTGCTCATCTTTTCTCATGTGTTTAAGGATCGTCGCGCACAATACACATCATATTTGTTAAGTGATTTGATTTTTTTTAAGAGAGGAGAAGAGAAAGACGCAAGAAGGGTCTAAGGGTAAACTCGATCCTAACGTTGTCATGCAAAATGGCCCTAAGGTCGGGATGCGAGGGGAAATTCTATCATAATGTTAGCATGCAAAAGTGGACCTAAGGTTGTGGTTAAAAGGGACTAACCTAATGTTATGCATGGATTAACTCCTAATGTCTAACCTACTCCAAGCTTAATCAAAAATTAAGTTGGACTAGGAAGCCCTAAGGGAACATGCGACAACAAACAAAACAAGGAAAACAAAACGAAAACAGCAGCTACACCAACGCTCCAGCTTCAGAATAGCAATAAAAGCCCAACAAGTAAGCATAACAACATTTAACAACCCATGTTTCAGCACATAACAGGTGTAAAAAGTGGCAGGCAGAATGGATGCATAATTAACAGCATGTTAAAATTCAGAACAACAGGTGTGAAAGGTTCAGGCAGCATGCATACATGAACATTGCAACGGAAGCATATGAGATGGTAAGGATCAATCATGAACATGCATTGATAATCAAGCGCAAAACAAGTTTGATGCACAATTAAACATTCAACGAGAACATCATGCATATCCAACACAAAGTAATCATTCGAGCAATCATGCGCTTGCAGAATCGAAAACAAACAATGAGCATGTAACACAAATCCATCAAGATAGTCATCAAGAATTAACAATCATCATCATGCAAACGAACATGCAACATGATCAACACACTAATAATGCAATGCAACGATCATAAATGTTCATCAACGAAAAACCGAAAGTCGCGTGTGGAAGAACCTCAAGCATGCTATCAAATACGTTGAAACAGGTTAATAACATTCCACATATATGCATCATATCAATCCATGAAGTTTAAGGATGAAAAGGAACCCAAACAAGCTTGAAAAAGCAAGAAAAAGGCATCATGTCTCAGTGGTAATCGATTACCCACTTAAAAACTTCAAAAAAAAACACGTGCAAAAGGCAGGGTAATCGATTACCCTGATTGTGGTAATCAATTACCACTGAGACAGTGGCAGATTTTCAACTTCCAAAAAGCACTTTCAGCGGCAAATGACTTATCCAATCATCCAAATGAACAAGCAATCAATTATGCACGAAAATCATGTCAAATCACAGCAATCAAACACCAATTGCATCAATCAAACAACAAGATCAAAGATCAAAGCAAGCAATAGGTCAAAGATCACCAAGAAACCAAGGATCTACAATGTGAAATGAAAGATTAAGCAAAAACATAATTAGGTCTAGGATTTACCAACCTACAAAGCTGAGATTTCCTTTGGTGAGTGTTATTAAGTTGCAATTAACAGATCCAAGCAAGAAATCCAAGGATCTATGAGGCTTTAGCAAGCAAACTTGAAGATCCAAGCAATAATTCACCAATAAGCAAAAGTTCTTTCAAAAGTAATTCCAACAACTTAATTCAAGATCCAAACGAATTCCAAAACCAGAATTGAACCAAGGATGATGATG